TGAAAAAATTGGTTTACGTGACTTGTATACTTATACAACTCTTATGTAGCAATATAAAACGCTGTGGTGACGATGTCAGTTCACGCGGACAGCTTTAGTTTTGATGGTGTGGGTGGTTTTTTTCCCATCATGGACGGTAGCTAATTTCAGTGAAAGCTCTCGTGTGTTGAGACTTATGGCCGAGCGTATAGTGTTGAAACACTAGTGTCTACCGGCTGAGGTTTATGGCAATTTATGTGCTGTTGGTCGGTAAAGATCCCTCGTTTTGGAACTTTGAATTATTGAAGAATCACCAACCTACCCTATAGCTATAACGAAAACGACCCTCCTTGGCAACCACAGCGCGTGGTCACGATTTCCATCCCTTGTATCGTACTAAACTCGAGGATTCTTATGTACGGGTTTGTCGTTAGAAGATAAAAAATAAAAACGTACTTTGGGTAAGAGAAACGGATAAAAATTCTTTCACGCACATGCACGCATCGTTCCGGGGGGAATCATTCTGTCCATCATCGTTGTCGAGAGAACGTCCCTTAGGGAATTCGTGTTACTTCGTCCCTGGGAAGATGTTATACACTATATACTCTATACTCTATACTATATAACGACATCGCGATTTTTGATATTAGATAAAAGCTTAATACGAATATGTTGTCGAAATGAGAKGTAGAGAAAAACTACGCACGACGTTGTAATACATAACTTGCGATATTAATTAATATTTACTTTACCAGTATTTATACATAGTGATTGGACATAGGTTATACATTTATTATTGCATAATATTATATGAACCATTGAATAGTTCATTTATTATTGCATAATATTATATGAACCATTGAATAGTTTTAAATAACCTGTTGTATGAAAAAAGATATGATTTTAAAACTCAATATCGATTTATGAGGTATGATATTTAGAGATTTTTTAAATAGATAAATATTTTAAAAGTACATATTATATTATATTTATCTACCTATTATGATTATAAAATATGTTTTTTAACTAAAATACATATTAAAAATAATATAAATATGATATTTTGAGTGTTTAAAAACAAAATACTATACAATTTAGTATTTATTGATGATACCTATATAGTATATTATATACTATATAGGTATAGAAAATAGAAATAGTATAGTAATAGAAATAAATGTATATATACTAATATACTGTATATATACATTTATTTCTTGTACTTGTAGTTAAATTTATCCTAGATTTCGATTAACTGGATGAAAATTGTTCGATTTAAATGAATTATATACATTAGATGAAATAAAATTATGCCGACTATAGTGGTGTTAGTGTATGGTTTAATTGAAAAAATGCGAATTTATCAGCTATTTTATTGTTTAATGTTTAAAAATTTAAACGTTATCGAAAACTGAAAAGTTCAACTCACTTAAAAGCATTCAGATTTTAGGTTGCAGAGTAAAAGCAAATGATCGAGTTTTTAGTGCGGTATCTAAAAATGAGTTTAAAATTATTATAGGTCTTATAAAAATATATCCAGGTACCTTGTAGGTAGATAGCTTTAATTATWAATTTGTATTGTTTTTTTTAAATTCACATTATTTTAATAAGTGTATATTAACTTGTTATTTACCTATATAATATATCAGTAATTAATACACCAATAATTATAAGTAAACCTATATTGTTTTTTRTTACTGCATAATTATTACAACAGGTAGAAATAATTTTCAATGACGATATTTTGTTTAAGGTATTTCAATTAGTGGTTGAAATCGCGTGTTTATCAACCATAACACAAATTAT